AATTCTGTAAAATCTGTGGCAATGTCTCCTAGATCTTGATATTGTAATTTTAAAAATGTATAATTGATATTGTGTAGTAGGAAGTAAAGGTCTAAAGGAGCAGGGGAAGTGGGAGGGGTAGGGGAAAGGAAAGAAGGGAAGAGAAAAAATATGAGAAAAGGAAAAAAATCGAAACAAAGTCTTTGCAAATAGGGAAGGGTGGAGTGGGTGAAAGGAGGGCAGGGGAAGGGGCAAAAAATAAGAACCAAGATACATTATGTAATGATACAAGATCCCAGTGATGAATGTAACTGTATTTTATACCTAAAATGTACCAATAAACGTTTTAGTATATGTCCTGCCGAAGCGAGCACATGTACCAATAAACTTAATGGGGGGAAAAAAAGGCTGCATTTGGGTCATTTGTAGAAAAGTGGATGCCCTTTGTGCTCATAATATTAACTGAATAAATCAGACACATAAATTAAAAAAAAAAATCCTCAGGCCGAGGATTTAGCTCAGTGGTTCCACCGCCTGCCCTGTAAGTGCAAGGGCCTGAGTTCGATCCCTGGTACCAAAAAAATCCTCTGAAAAACACTGATATTACTGTGCCTCTTTTGTAGCTGTACAAGTAGGCTTTGAAAGATGAGGCAGTTCACCAAAGGCCACATAGCTACAAGTGGCTACAGTAGGATTTGAACCCAGATCTTCTGACACTAGCTGTAGTTTTTTGTTTTGGAGGGGGGAGTTTGGTACTGGGGATTGAACTCGGGACCTTGGACTTGTGAGTCAGGCGATGGAACCACTGAGCTAAATCCCTGGCCCTAGCTGTAGTATTTGTTTTACTTTGCAAGAAACAAAGAGGTCAAGAGCTGACAAACCTTTTTTGTAAAACTCCTCTTTTTGTTTTTTTTAATTCTTTCTTTAACATGAACGTTAAAGCTTTGCATGCTGGGGATGCAGCTCAGTGGCACCGAGCCTGCCTGGCAAGCAAAAGGTCCTGAGTTTGATTCCCAGTATCGGAAAAAATAACAAAGAAAGCTTTGCAGGTCAGAGTCTCTGTCCCTAACTACTCAGTGCCACAGATAACGCGTCAGTAAAGGCTGAGCTGTGTTCCCCTGAAACTTGGTTTACAAACACAGGTGCCACAAGGATCAGGCCAGCAGCCACAGTGTGCGGACCCCAACACGCACAACAACAAGCAGACAACCCACACAGGCCTGGCCCACCTAGTTGCTTCTCATTACTGACTTCACCGCAAGTCCATCTGGCAGCCGTCTCTTCCACAGTGCCAACCTTGCTCTCCCTCCCACCAATTCCAATTTATTTGATAAATGCTTTATGACAGCAGTAATGGAAAGCATCTTTTGTTTTTGTTTTGTTTGTTTCTTATTCTTTTTTAATGTGAGCACAAACTTAGGATAAACAGATTTTTTTTTCTCCTAATCTTAGTAAAAATACCTTTCTGGAATCCCAAAGTGGAAAAACAATGTATTCTTACAACTCAGATTTCCTTATTAAATGTTATAGCTGGGTGTGGTGGCACACACCTGTAAACCCAGTAGTCAGGAAGCTCAGGCAAGAGGATCTCAAATTCAAGGCCAGCCTAGTTTCCATAGTGAGACCCTGACTCAAATAAATAGTTTTTAATGCTAAGGGAAACTTAATACTTTTTAACTGTCAAGGTACTGATGTCTGGACAACAGCATCGTCTTTCTTCACTTCCATTACTCAACCTTATATAGTGCTGTAGGATTTGAGACAGGTTTTCTTGTGCGTAATTTCATTTATCCTTTTTTTTTGGAGACAGAGTCTCACTATGTAGTTCAGGCTGGACTTGAACTCACAGCAATCACCACACCCTGCTTAATTTCATTTATCTTTAAGCAGAGTTTGAAACACATATTATTATTATAGACAGCTAAGTTAGGTAGATAGGGCTGGGCCCTCGGGAGAGTAGGGACAGGACAAAGGTAAAACACATTGCAACCATGGCCAGAGACGGATCCATTGGCGACCAGGCCTTAAGATCCAGATAAAATGGCCAGGCCTGCACACTTCCCCGAAGGATGAGGTAAGCGGTAACACCTGGCCTAATGAAGTCTAGACAGACATCAGTCACCCCAGGGGGTGACCAAGACCTCCGGACCCACCATTTCTATAAAAAGTCTTTGTTCCTTCCATGCATGCTTGTTACGTGACCTGTTCCCCCACTGGATCACTATTACCTAAGCGACTGTATTTGTAACCTTACTGGTTGTTCATAGCTTTAACCCACGTTGTACCCATATGGTTTTTGCTCTATAAAACTTCCCCCAAAACATGGGGTCCTCGGGACCCCTCCTGCCTCTCAGGAGCTATCCTCTCAATAAACATTTCCTACTCATAACCTCTGTTGTTCCTAGAATTCCTTCTTCGATTTTAGAGAACACGAACTCGGCATATCAAACATCTAACAGGTTGGGAATTAGAATATTTCCCTTATATCATTGGGAGGTGCTATTTCATCTCCCATGTCACCCCTGTATCATTCTTATAGAGAAACTGATACTCAAGGGAAGTTAAGTGACTTCCTAAATCCCAGTTCCTTCTCTTCAACATAACGTTGAATGAGCAAGGACTGTGCTAGGTACAAAGAATAAAGATATAAATAAAATTCCATTTCTGTCTTTCTCTCTTATCCTCTTTGTTAATCCTTGGCCTCCACCAAAACCTGAATCCCAAAATAAGCAATTCCGCAGATCTTCTCTTACTGGGGGCCCGAGCAACATTTTCCCCTTATGGCCTCTTAGCATGCACAAGGCCCTCAATTCAGTCCCTGCAACAACAGCAGGAGCAGCAACAACAACAGAAAGAAAGGAAGAAAGAAAAGAATACTTTAGAGCAGAGACTTCCAGAAAGCCAAAGAGGGCATGAATCTCCCTGGTCCTGGTATCACTGCCAGGATGGACATATCACAAGAGGTTTTGGACCAAGCTCTTGCACTGGGCCCCAAAGGCCAGACTAAAAATCAAAATGACTCTTGGGCCGGGGATTTAGCTCACTGGTTCTGCTGCCTGCCTCACAAGCGCAAGGTCCAGAGTTTGATCTCCGGTACCAAAAAAAAATCAAAATGACTCATACTGAAGTTCAAGGTCACCAATCCAAACTAAGTTGGTGAGAGGTGACAAGCAAATATCCCTGAACAGACCAGTTTCAATTGGCATGATAATGAAATCCCGTTTTTTAATATTTACCAAAAAAAGAGTAACCTGAAGTTAGCTAATGTTTATCAGTTACTTTTCTGTCATTCTGTGTCCTTGTCCCTGCCTGACAAGGACAGTAACTCTGAAACAGCCACATTGCTCTCTGTCCATTGCTTCTGCTCTCTTCAGCCTTCATCTGTCTGTGAAATTAGCTGCCCCGCTCAGCTCTCTGAACACTTATTCTACTTCAGGGGACGAAGTGGTGCTCAGTTCTAGGAGCCAACCAAGGTTTGTGAGCTAAAGTCATTGTCATTTTTTACAACATTATTACAAATAATTGTGAAAATTTTTTAGAATGCACCTTTGCTGTCTTGTTCATGCCGTATTGTTTCTGCTCTGCCATACCTATTTGTCATCCCTGTCTTGAAGCCAGGTGATTATGGACTGAAACTTCTACAAACTGTAAGCCAAATAAAGCCCTTCCCCTCTAAAAAAAAATGTTTAGAATGAACAATATAAAGTTAGCTTTTATTTTATTCCGTTTACTACTTTCTGAAAGTTAAGATTTATTTTCCCAAATACATATAAATTCCTCATAGTCACTCTCTCTTTTGACCTCTCTTGTCTTCCAACATTATTTACCATGTTCCTTTCCCCTGTCACTAGCCTGTCTGCATAGGGTCAGTCCCTCATGTCGACTGACCTTTCTTTAATGTGAAAAAGAGGATAATACCAACAAAAAAAGGATAATAGCTGAAGTGAGATCAATTGTAATATCTGATCTTAATTCTTTCAGATCCTGTTGGTAGACTGATATGCAGAGTTGTCCTAATATTTTCAAAGAGCACATTCAGTGGTGCAGGGCATTTTTAGTTCCAATTAGGGATTTTTTTCTTTCTGGCAAGGAGTCAGAGCCCTGAGAGCCCGTAGAGGGAGCCTCCCCCAGACCCTCACCTCTGCAAGCAGATCATGTAGCTCTCCTTCGCTGGGGCAGCATCCTAATGACCTGACAATTGTCCCAATCTCTCTGCAAAAAACAAAGTTGTCCACAGTTTTAGAATACAAATTCTGAAAAGCCAAGGCATTTATAAATGTCAAATTAAGTAGTTATCTAAGTTCTTTTGGATCAAAGGTAACACAGCAAACCAAATCGCTCAGGATTGCCTCATAACTGTAAAACACACTTTCTGGGGAAAGGAAAAGGCAGACAAGCGAGCCAAAGAGGGAGGAAAGCAAGGATCTCATTGACGGGCCAATTAAGGTCTCCCTGGCCCCAAATCAAAATGCTCTAGAAAAGGAACAGAAAGGACAGGAGGGGGAGTAAGGGCAAGAAAGAGCAGCCACTCGCCAGCGGATTTTAACTGTTACTTAGTGCTCTCGAGTCTCGAGGTCTGCATCTGATGTCCCCCAGAGGTTTGCGGTGAAGCGGACACCAGTGACAGAGATGTAAAGCATGATTTCCAGTGCCAAACTGCAAGCATCAAACCTCGGCTGTGGGACTTGCAAGAGTGGGCAGGCCGCCTACCAGTGTAGGCCTCCTAGTAAGGAAAACATGGTACCTTCCTCCCAACACTTAGCTCCGCGCTGGGGACACTTGAGTAGCATGAGAGGAATTACTGTTACCACAAAGCACCGCTCTTGGCAGAGCTTCCCCTCCCCGGGCCTAACCGTGAAATTCACTGCACCAAATGGCCTAAGAAAAGGACTACTCGCCCGGGATTTAGCTCAGTGGTTCCAGCGCCTGCCTTGCAAGAAGCACAAGGTCCGGAGTTTGATCCCCAGTACCAAAAAAAAAAAAAAGGACTACTCAGTGCTCTCTGGATACGAAGACGGGATTTGTAGTAGACTAGTAAACATTTCCATTCAAATTATTAAAATTATAGTACTTGAGTGTTAATTTAATTTCACAAATATTTGCTTAACTAGAATATTTAATTTCTTTACCATTTTGGAAAATTTTGGTGAAATTTTATTGACTATTTTACTGAGAAAAAAATCTAAATAACAAATTTTCAATTCCTCACTTAAAGCAGTTGCAGGCTGAGTACCAAAGTAAGAGAAAAGTGTAAGGTCAGTAACTGGAAGACAAGAGTCTTACTTTCCACGCATAATAAATGGAGAGCCAACAAAACATGCAGTGGACCTCCTCCCTCCCCCGAGTACCTTAGTCTCCACATGAACACGGAGGAGCTGGACAGGAGGAAGTGCTTCTAACGTTCTAAACACAGTAGAGTCACTGTGGTTGATGACAATTAATTGTAGACTTCAAAAATCTCTTAGAATTCCGAATGTTCCCAACACGAGGAAATGAGGTTTGAGGTAATGGATATACCAATTACCTTGATCCTTACACATTCCATGCATGTCCTGAAATAGCACACTATTCCCCACAAGTATGTACAACTAATATGTGTCAATGAGAAATTTTGTTTTTGTTTCTTTTTGAGATGGTGTCTCGCTATGTTGCCCAACTGGCCTTGAACCCCTGGACTCAAGTGATCCTCCTGTCTCAGCCTCATTAGTAGCTGGGACAACAGCCACGTGCCACTGCACTTGGTACCGTACCATATAAAAATTTTTAAAAATATATTTAAATTCTTTTTCAATGCTTCTGGCATACTGAACTGTGGTTTCTTTCTAATGTGGAATACTGGATCTACTGTAGCCATTTTGTATTCAAGTTACTTGAGAATCATGTATTACCACACAAATTTCTATACCTTAACGACTAATTAACTTTTGACCTGCATATGTGGAGAGCATTTTTACTTATACCTTTTCACTTGTTCTAGACTCCAGCCCTGTCCTGGGTACCTAGGGGTATTGTCTTTTTCAGAGATAAAGAAACCAAAGCTGAGAAAGGACAAATGACTTGCCCTAGTTACATAGCTAGTGAGTGGCAGCTCTACCGTTCAAATGCATTTTTAATGATTCCAGATCTCATTAATTCAATAAAACAAACATGAGTACCAGTACTGACTCTATGCCCAAGACTTTGGTTGGTGCTAGGGATGCGGTAATAATAAGATAAAAAATTGTTCTTGCTGTCATGGAATTGATGTTCTAACAGAAAAATGAGAAGCAGGCAACTATAATATTGGGGAAAGCAGCAAAGGTTGTCATGGATGTGTCCAGAGGGCACCGACCTCAACTAGGATAGCAGGCCTGGGAGAAGCTTCTGCAGAATTGACTCTTAACCTACTCTGTGCTTAAATAGGAAGAGAAATGTTTCAAGCAAAGAAACATTTGCAAAGGCCCCGAGATAAGTGAGCTCATTGGATAGTCAAGTCTCAAAGAAGTTAGGGTGACTGAAGCATAAGGCAAGAACAAAGGAAACCTGAGTCCTTGCAAGAGGTCAAACATATGGGACTTTGAAAACCATGCTAAGGAGCTTAAAGTTTTTCTAAGAGCTACAGAGTGATATTGAAGGGTGTTTGTTTGTTTTGAGGCAGGAACTCACTTTGGCCTCAAACTCATGCCAATCCTCCTGCCTCAGCCTCCTGAGTGCTGGGATTACAGGTGTGTACCACCATACCCGGCTTTGAAGGATTTTTAAGTAGCATGGTGACATGATGACTCTGTAGTCATATATGTGGCAAATGACCTGTATTCAGAGTCATTCCGTGCAGCATTATTTGTAATAATAAAATGAACTAAGCATTCAACAAACAATAGGAGACTGATTAAATAAGGTCTGATCCATCCATACAACAGAGTAACACTCAGAAAACAAAATCAGATTCTCTACATTCAGATTTGAAAGGCTGTCCCAGAAACATTATTATGTGAAAAAAGTCAGGTGAAAACAATTGTTACCATTTGTGGGGTTTGTTTTGTGTTGTATTTTTTTCCTTTTCCTATGCTAGGATGGACCCAAGGCTTCATACACACGAGGCAAGCTCTACTGACCTACACTCCCAGCCCCGTTCCAGTTTTTAAAAAAAACAAAAAGGAAAGAAGAAATGTATCACCTCCCATCTCTGGCAGGCCACGTGGGGAGCTAGTGACGTCACCTGCAGGGAGAAGGCAGCCGGGCAAAGGCTGGAGGTGGCCTGTATTTCAAACACATGAGCAAATAAAGCTTAAATTAAATAACTGAAGAAAATAAATATTCTAGCTGCAAGATAAAAGGCTGTCGCCTTAACCAAGAAAGAGAAGTGCAGGGGTCTGACTCAGGGACAGGAATGAAGACCAAGAGGAGCAAATGAATCTGAGAGATGTCTGAGGGCCCCGTCAGACCCCGTGACTGGTGGGACCTGATGGAGAGGCCAGTATTAGGGAGAAGCTACCTACCAATTGGCAATGAGTTAGGGAAAAGGAAAGAGAAACATGATTTGGACAAAGGAAGAGGAAGAGTCCAATTTTGGATGTGCCGGATTTCCACCGTGTATGTTGTTGGTGGTTCCATCAGGAATGCAAGGCTCTGGCCATTTGCAGTGAGCAACCTCAAAGGATGAGGTAATGTTGGTCTCCAGGACAAACCACAGGCTTCCTTGCTGCTTGCTATAAAAGCACAAGATCCCCCGAGCTCAGTGCTGCTCTTCGGTGACTCTACCCATCCTGTGTGAAGATCTCCACGTGAGCCCATTGCTGTTGGACTCTGAGGACAAAGCTGACTGACACCAGTGAGCCCATGCTACCTGCTGTGCTGACCATAACCAAGCCCTTTGTCTCTGGCCCAGCAGTCCTGTCTCCTGCCAACATGCAGGAAACAGTAATGGGCTCACTTACCACTTACAAGTAGCATCAAATCAAACAGCAGGGTTAACACTTGTCAGAGTATAAACTGCAGAAAAAGACATGGGCTGGAGACTCAGACCAGGTAGCAAAGCCAGGGGAGCAGAAGAGCAGGAGGCAGGAGGCAGCCCAAAAGGAGCTTCCATTGACAGTGCAGAAGTCCGATGACTGAGGGTTGAGCTTATGGGGTATGGTGCCAAGGAAGATTCTCGCAAAAAACCCTTGTGAGACCAGCTAGGTGCGAGCAGGTCTTACCAGACATGGGAAGGAGCCCATGCAGAGAAGGCTCCCTGAGGAGGGGACAGCTCCAACCAGGGGCTCAGCGCTCAGGGGCCACACGGCAACTGCACCCCAGGTCCTGCCACCTGCAAGTGCTGCATGAGAGAAGGTGGCGGGCTTCCACCCATCCACTTCTCCATGAGGAACCTACTGGCCTCCTCTTCTTTGAGCTGCTCTAGCTACACAGCTCACTCTGCCCAGGTGGACCACAGAAAACATGGTCTCCTTCCTCCCTAGTCCAGAATCACAAAGCCTGACTCACACGAAGGAAGCAGGCGAGGGTTATTTTTCCGACAAGCCCAAGCTGGGCTAAAGAACAACACAAGTCTCTCAAGAACTAAGACCTTGGCCTGTCGGGCAGGGCAGCCTAGCTCAGCTCCCTCCCCTCCTCCTGTGGGAGCTGCTCTCTCCCTGGGCCCTGGAGGCTTCCTGTGGCTGAGCTCTGCTGGGACAGGAAGCTGGCCTTGCATCTCCTCGGCACTGTGGGCCTCCCTCTCCCCCATGTCCCCTCCACACTGCACTGGCTGAGGGGTCCCAGTGGGACAGGAGAGAGGAAGGGAGAGGTCACACCAAGAATTAATAGCAAGCTTTGTAGTGGTCTTGGCCAGGAGAGGGTGGGATTGACTGGATTTATAAAAGCAGAGATGTGACTTGTCGGTTGCGTTCAAAGCCCACCGCGCAATTCCTATCTGTGGCCCTCATTCTGTGGTTTCTATATTCTGATTTTTTTTCTTTCTTTTGGTACCGGGTATTGAACTTGGGACTTTGCACTTGTGAGGCAGGCGGTGGAACCACTGAGCTCAATTCCCGGCCCCTGTTTCGAAAGGGGAAGGCGAAGACATTCCCAGCTGAAGACTCTCCATCCCCTGGGTGGGAAGTGGCAAGGTCTCTGCAGAGGACGAGCGGGAAGGAGGAAGAGAGCCCGCTCTGCCACTTGCTCACCACCCCGCGCCCGCCGGCCTGCCCTCGCTCACACCTCCAACTCCACTTGGCCTCATGCGTGTTGGGTCT